GGATCCGGCGGTTTGCGGCGGAGGTGATAACCATGCGAAAAGGTAGGACAGTGCGGCGAAGAGGGTGGCGACGCGTCCAAGGCGGAGGAGGCGCATGAGTGCGGCGAGGAGGGCGGCGACCGGGTACTGGTAGACGAGGCCGAGCCTGGCGATGGGGAGGTGCTCGGAGAGCCACCTTGGGAGGTCTGCGGCGGCGGCGGCCTGGTGGAGGGAGCAGAGGAGGATGAAACCTGCGGGGACGGCGCGGGAGACGACCGGGTCGAAGTGGGTCATGCAGGGGGCTCCGAGGGCGATCCTTGCGCAGAGGGCGTCGTCGGAGGGCTGGGTCTGGTCGATCTGCGAGACCCACACGAGGAAGTGGAGGAAGAGGACGTGCCTCCAGTAGCGGATGGCGCGGATGCCTGCCCAGTGGAAGATGCCCGCGGTGGTCCTGCGGCTGATGTAGATGTAGCAGACGCAGCCGAGGGTGTACTCCGAGAAGCGGGTGAGGAGGAAGCGGAAGGAGAAGTAGAAGTGGTTGTCCCGCATGTTGACCGAGGTCATGATGCACGAGACGGAGATCTGGAAGAAGATGTTGGCCATGTTGACGTACTCGTGCCTCTCGGGGAAGTTCCTGACGGTGGTGGCGATGGCGAGGCGGACGAGCGGGAAGGCCGTCCTGCAGAGGAGGAGGGTCATGAGGATGGAGGTCGACTCGTTGAAGAGCCTGTAGTGGGCCTGCTGCTGGGTCTCCATGAAGGGTGAGAGGTAGAGGAGCGAGCCGAGGTTGATGGCCCAGGTCATCGGGCTGGACCACAGGCCTTGCGCCATCATGCCGAAAGGGATGAGGAGGAGGTTCACCAGGGCGAGGTGCGGGTAGACCTCCGCGTTGACGTCGTAGAGCACGCGCAGGGGCTTGGCGTCTTCACTCCAGTAGTGGTGGGAGTCGGCGCAGCCCGTGAGGATGAAGAGGACGGTGACGGCGTCGACGGTGATGCTCTCCATGGTCTGCAGGACGCAGAAGATGTTGCTCTGTTTTCTGTCGTCGTCGTCGGCCCTGGAGAGCACTAGGGAGGTGTAGAACGCGAAGGTGACGATGAGGCAGAGCGACTGGGAGGCGCGGACGAGGATGAAGGTCGTGTCGAGGTCCAGGTCGTCGTCGTCGGTATAGTTGCCCGGTGGGATGCTTGGGTCGTTGGCGGTGTCCCTGCTCGGCGGGTAGACGAAGGCGTCCCTCTCTCCCTCCTCGCAGCCTCGTGCAGTTCATGGGTTCCTTCTTGGGGTTTTCATCATTGGTGTCCTGATCGTGGACTTCCTTCATTCCTCCCTCTGGCCTTCTCGTGGTCCTCCCGCGTTTATGTAGCGCCGGGGCGCGGCGGGGTGAAACCTGCCTTGTGGGGAACGGCGCGGAGATTATATAAGCGCGCGGCTGGGGCTGGATGGTACTGATTCCATCATGGATCGTGAATGGAGGAGAAAATGGACACTCAGACCCGAGCTGAGAGCGTTCCTTGAAGAGGAATCTGTCCCTGCATCCAGCTTCAGTACAAATCTGAGTCATTCACAGTTGAGTGCTGAACAAATCGAGAAAGAGAGGATCGTTATCTCATCGGATGACGAAAATTCTAAGCCCTGCAAGAAGAAGTGTACCAAGGCCAGCGCAAAGAGTATCAAGACCAGCGTGAATAATGCCAAGGCCAGCGCAAAGAGTATCAAGACCAGCGTGAATAATGCCAAGGCCAACACGAAGAATCTTTCCCCCAGCAAGGAGAAGGAAGTATCCAACGAGAAGGTTACCAAGGCTGCGGACAACAAGCTCTCCAGTGATGATGGGGAAGAATGGGAGGAGTTGAATTGAGTATCCGGCGAAGAGTAGTATACCCTTCTTTCCCTCCCGCTCCCGCTTGCGTAGTGAATTAAAGTACGAAAGAATATCCCCTCGTGGTCTTGTTGAAGCCTGTCCCGTGGTGAACGGCGCGGGTATTGTATTTAGGACTTACGCGGTGGGTTTGGGTGATTTGGGGCTGTGCGTTGGGTGCGGCATGTATATTCTTTTGTTCGTGGCGGGGTTGGTCCTCGTGCTGGTGGTAGAGCGGGTGGTTCACTCTGTGCTGTCGCTGGTGGTGGACCGCTCGATGCGCCCTACCAAGAGGTATGCCTCCATGTCTCTCGTGGGCACGTTCTTCCAGAACATCTTTGCTTACTTTTTCTTCGCCTTCAATGTCCTGGCGATGACCGTTGGGTTCATCGCGCGGAACCTTCTCTGGTTTGGGTTCCTGGTGCTGGTCATGGCAGTTCTCAGCATGGTGTTGGACTTTGCTCCCGGGTTGGTTGCCGAGTATGTGTACGTTTACAACGCCGGGCTGGGGACCTACATTCACTTCTTCATCGTCCTACCGGTTCAGTTAGTGGAGCTGCTGTTTAGCCATGTCACCGCGCTGTATAACTGCATCATGTGGATCGTGAATGGGGTGTTCCTGTCAGTGCTGGCCCCGTCCTTCCTTGCGGACAACGTGAATGTCGGGTGGCTCCCTAGGTTCGGCACGTCTTTCTTCAAGTTCTCGGGTGAGGTGGTCCTGTCGATCTCGTCGTACCTTGTCAATGTGATGGCGTGCGCGACGAACCCCCTCGGCGGGGTGCCCAGGGGTGGCACCGGGAGCTTCCTGATCCTGAACGCGACGGGTTCGGTGGAGTGCTTCGAGCCCGGCATGATCAACCTCGACCTTATAACTCCTGCGGGCAGCTTCCGCGACATGTGCCTCTACATCGCGAGGTTCGTGGTGTTCTCCTGCCCCGCTGCGAATGCGGTCATTGATTTACTAACATTCCCGCTGAGCGATATGAACCTGTACAAGGGCATCCATTGTATCGTGAACGCGCTTTTGGGTCTGTTCGTGCAGCTCCCCTTCGTAACCCTGCACCGCTGCCGGTTCGGTGCGACGCTCCCGATGCTCGGCGTGCACCAGCGCATCCTGTGCGCCCCGGACTTCCGCCCGGCGATGGACCTTTCGGTAGCTGGGGCTAGGTACCTGGGTAGGACCGTCGACAACTGGTTGGACTCTTCGCTGGTGATCCTGGAGACGCTCTTCACCGGCTCCGCACCGCAGTGCGACCCGGTCCCGATCCCCCTGAGCTACAGCGACGATGACTCCCGGGCGCTTTTCGGGGGCAACTTCCGCGCGGTGGTGGGGCTGACTCCGGGGATGTACGCGGTGACGGATGGGATCAGCACGGAGTACAACATCTTCTACAAGCAAGTGACAAGGGAGATTGCTTACAGGAACTGGCCCTTTCCTGTCGAACCGGCGTACGGCATCGCGGCGGTCAAGTACGGGGAGCTGCCCGAGGGGGACGTGGCGGGAGACCTGACGACTGGGATGCTGGGGTGCGAGTGCCTGGACGTCCCCGGCGTAGGGGCGCAGATCACCTGTGCGATCGTCCCGTACCTCTCCGGGAGCAACATGCCCTCCACCACGGGTTCCGTGGCTTCGATGATCCAGGACTACCTCAAATCGAACAGCATACAGCAGGCGGTCAACTCGAGCAACGCGACGCAGCGCATCCCGGTGACCTTCTCCGTGCCCTCGTCGAGCCAGTACGCGACCTGCAAGAGGCTGAAGATCCAGGTGGAGTCGCTCCGGTGGCCCGCGACGAGGGTGTCTGCAACGAGCACCAGCCCCGGTGCTTGGAACCAGATGGGTGCCGCGGCCCAGGTGAATATCCTGGATGTGGCCAGGGAGGTGAGGGCGGACGCTGCCATCTACGTCATGCCGCAGTGCCCCTTCTCGGCGGTCCCCGACCCTTCTTGCATACCCGGCTTTGAAGGGTTCAGCTGCTACCCCTTCTGTGTGGGCCTGCACCTCACGGGGACGATCAACCAGGGGATTGTGCTGTACGGGGCCAACGACTGGAGGGACTCGGTGCAGTACCTCCTCCGGGACTGCGGGGTGGGGCAGGGCGCCGTCGGGTCGATATCCCCTTCTGCTCTGAGCCTTTCCCCGCTTGCATTCGGCCCTCCTGTCCGGTACACCGTCCCAAAGGGCGTGGTGTACAACGCGGCGGCGCAGAGCGCCTGGGACCCGGCGACGCAGAGCTGTGTCTCCAGCGCGGATGTTAATTCAAGGGTTTCTGTGAACCTTACTACGGTGTATGCCTTCCCTCCCGACCAGAGCGAGCCGACGATCCGGGAGAAGTTCCAGCCCTTCGTCTTTGCGAGCGATGTGGTGCTCACGGCGTACCAGGACGGTCTGGGGAAGTGGAGCGTCAAGGTCTCTAGGATCTTCGGGGAGGATGCGCTGTCCTTCAGGCTGGTGGATCTCCCCGGGTTGATCCCCGCGAACGACATCTGCCTGGGCTCTCCGTCCTGTGAAGAGCCGTTCCAGCCCAGTCTTATTGGGATACCGTACGCGTACCAGGACTACCCGCAGCTGTACAACCCCTCCACAACGAGCCAGTGGGCGGTGTTCTACGCGACGAACCCGAACCCGGAGGTGTACGAGGCGTATTCGCGGTACTGCGCGGGCCTCCCCACGAAGTTCGGCATCGTGATGGACTCCAGCTACGGGCAGGTGAGGGTGTGGAAGTTCAACGCCTTCGCGCTGGACCAGTCTGAGACGTCGGGGGCGGCGGTGATGACCTGGACCTTCGAGGGCTTCAACCGGGTGCAGGAGGTGAGCAACTGCGGGGCTCTGTACAACATGTCGGTGGTCAGGCTGGAGTACATCAATGAATACAACGTCGCCGTCACGGTCCTGCAGGCCTCTATGCAGAGCTTCGATGTTGTGACGAGGATGCCGCGCCCCGGATTCGATGGCTTTGATTACGTGGTCTACTTCATTAACCCCACGACCAACGAAGGGCCTTCCGAGAGCATGTTCAGTGAGCTCGTCCCGCAGTCTCTCCTGAGCGAGGGCCTGCTGTGCCCTAGCCAGCGCCGCATGCCCGAGGTCGGCTCGAGCCTGGCGGAGGCCTGGGCCGGTGTGTTGTACTTCATGCGGCTGCCGCTCAACGCGGTGGTGCTCTTCCCTGCTATCTTCAGCGGTGGGGACTGGCCGCGCTTCACCGAGTGCTCAGCGGTGGCTCTGGGGCATTCTTTGCTGTTGGGGTGCGGGAAGGGGATCCTGAACGTCGACAATGCCTTCGAGGCTTGGCACCGTGCGTCGTTCCTGTTCTATCACTCCTTCGTGAAAATCGCCACCTTTGGTCAGAGCCTGAGCCCCTCGAATCCCATCCTCCTGTACACCAGGCAGGCCGTCGTAGGCTCCACCGTCGCGGCAACCTACCTGACCAACGGTGCGCCTGCCTTCATGGCGAAATTGCTAGGATCTGTGAATTTTAACCGTCCATTTGCGGATATGTCCCGCGCGATGTTGTTCGGGCTGCCCTCCTGGATCCGGATTTTTGGGCGCGTGGTCCGGTTCTCCTCGACGAGCTTTCAGATGTTCCTTCGCTTCCTG